TAATGATATTGATATGGTTAAAATCGATCCCTGACTTTTACAAAGTTATGGACTGTTATTTACAAATATTGAAAAGAATTAACTTTAATCACATCATGAAGTAATTTGCTTCACTGTAAACAACTTGCAGTTGTAACTGTAATATAGTGTACTAATTTGTTTATTAAAACTTAGCGAAACTCATATGCACTTTGTAGTCAATATTATTGTGAGGTTTCTAAAATATATATACATATATTCGTACACATCCTGTAATTGATATTAGTGCAAGAAGTTTTTTTTATTATGGCAAGAATTAAAGAATTGACAATATCACAAAAAGAACTGATTGTTATGCTCTGGAAAGAAGGTAAAAGTTACAAAAGAATCTCAGACAACCTGAATATTCCATTTACTGTTATTACTTCATTCGTTGCAAGCTTTTAAAAAAAATCTCAAAGCTGTTGAAAACCAAAGAAGAACAGGTGCTTCACGGAAGATTTCTTCAAGATCTTCGAGGAAATTAATGCGTCAAATTAAACAAAATAAAATGATTACTCCTCATGATTTTTAGGATGATTTGCTTTCATCAGTAAACTGTGTCACTAAATGGACAATAAGCAAAGAATTTCATGAGAACAATCTAAAGTCACGCTCCCTTCGAAAAAATCCACTGCTATTGAAATGACACTGAAATGCCAGTTTGAAATTCATTCGTGAACGTAAGGATAAGAAAAATCGTATTGGGGAAGAGCATTATGGACAAACGAAGCCAAAATTGAGTTATCTGGACGTAATTATATATGGTGGAATGATGGTGATGCTTTCAACCAAAAGAACACAATTCCAGCAGTGAAATTTGGTGGTAGCAGCATCATAGTTTGGAGATGTTTTTCTGCAAAAGGTCCAAGCAACATATCAGTAATAAATGGCAGAATGAATGCCGTAGCATATCAAAACATTTTGGAAGTAAATTTAATGATTTTAGTTGAAAATCTTGAACTTCCTCCTGATTGGATCTCCCAAGAAGATAATGACTGCAAAATCTACGAAGAAATGTCTTGGTGAAAATAATGTAAATATCCTGAAATGATCAAATCAATCCACAGGTTTAAACCCAATCGAGAATCTGTGGCGTTATTTGAAAATTCAAATGCAATCGAGAGCGTCAACAAATAAAGTGGAGGTTGATTCTATCAGAGAATCCTTCTTTCCCCCGAGAAATGACGTGTCAACACTGGACTGGTTGCGTTCATAACTATGGAACCCGGTGTATCCCATTGTACTAGATGGCTGTTGGCCCCACAAGAATATTGATATAGATTAAAAGAAATAAGAAGATTACATATTACTACATGAACTAATGGTACCGATGAAGTAATTGCTGTGAGCAAGTAATTGGTTAATAAATAACAAAACAAAGGTTGTAGATAAATAGTGTATTGAACAGGAAATACAACAGAATTGTGCTACACGACTTGGGAGTGTGTATTGGTTGACCAGACTTCAGTCTATATCACCGTTAATATTTAACAGTCCACGACGAGGGATATATGTGGCACAAGACGTTGGTCATCCGTAACCGTAGGCTCGGCCAAAAAATTCCCGTAGGACCCGCATAAACGGGGTCGGGTCTGTCTACCTCCTGGGAAGAAACTCTAACCTTCGTCCAGGTTCCTCTCTGCCCAATGCAAAGAGTTCGACAGGAGCCCCGAACAGCTTCAGTAGAACAGTTGAAATCACCATTATATTTAACGGCCCCCACGTGGGTCGTATGTGGCACAAGTCCAAGTTCATTGTGGGTTCTCCGAGCCCTTAGACTCGGTCCAAAATATTCCCTTTGAATCCGTATAAACGGGTTCAGGGCGTGTCTACTTCCCCGGACGAAACCCTGCCATTCGGCAAAGCCTCGTCGGCCGTGTTTGACAGTAATGAACGGCTTGGAGCACCGTTCCCCCGTGGCTTACTTTCCTACTACTTCATAGTAAGTGGAAGAGTCCACAATATCCTCATTAGAGAGAAGACACCACAATAGTAATATTACCTTTTTGCAAAAAGAAAATTATATTTTTGTTACCAGTTTTATATAGAAATATTTTTGTTAGAAATAAATGTAACCTTAGTTCACGGGCAACATTATTTTAGACTAAAGCTATTACAATTAAAGGGGAATACTCAAACAAGCTGGCCTACTCTAAAAAAATAGTCGAATTTTTCTGAGGAATAATTTTCGTAGATTAGCGACTATTATACTATCATCAAGCCTAGAGATCTTTGTCATAATGAGAAAACATTGATTTTTTTATTGGTTTAGATGGAAAGTCCTGTTCATAATATAAATATTGGGAAATGTCCACTCCGAAGAATTTATCTGAAGTCGGTTCCTATTTACAAATGTTTGAAACTGTGCTTAACTAATTGAAGTCGGAAAGAACATCAACATTTTTTCTTCTTTTTCTTTTGCCTTATATCATTTTTACCTTTTCCTCTTTTTCCTAACTTTCTATTCATTCGACCTTTT